TAATGAAGGTATTACAAAGTTTTTGGATATAGGCGATGGTATTTATATTGCATATATGAGTTATATCTGTCTAAAACAAGTGATGGGTTTTATTTTCTGTTCAGCGCTTAACCAAAGTGACTAGCTCGTGCTATTTACTGAATTACAATGTAACTTGATTTGTTTTGTAAAAAGTAAATGAAATGAGAAAAAAGAGGGTTTAAAATAAAATTTATAAAAAAGCGGGAAAGAAGATATGAAGTTGAATTATACTTATCATCTATACTGCTTCACCGATACGACAGAGATCCCTTTTTTTTCCTTCGATGTTTTTATATTTCAAAATTGCGAAAGTTTCAACATTATCAAAGTGCATCGACCTCTTAACTTCTCACCCCTCTCTCTCTCTCTCTCTCTCTCTCTCTCTCTCTCTCTCTCTCTCCTCTCCTCCACCTTCCCTTCTTCCGTCCCCAACGCTCCTTCTCTCTCTCTCTCTTCACCCCATCTCTCTCGATTTTATATCTGTATACCCTCTCTTCTCACTCCCAGTCTCTTTCTCTCTCTCTCTCCCTCCCTCCCTCCCCCCCTCTCTCTCTCTCTCTCTCTCTCTCTCTCTCCCTCCCTCTCTCCCCCCCTCTCTCTCTCTCTCTCTCTCTCTCTTTCTTTCAATCGTGTTTTCGCCTGCTCTATTCATGCTTCCATCTCCTCACTCCCTTGTTTGATTACATACATGTATGTCACGCTCTGTAAAAAGTGTCGGATTTGAGTTTGCACAAAACATGAATGTTTGCATTAGTCGTGTTTTCTACAATGATTTCAAATGTCATTGTTATTATTTTGACCTTTCTTTTCGACCTTCTTACAACTGAGGCGCAAAATTGGATATACTGGTTACAAAGTGTATTAAAGGAACCTATTATCGATTCGTGACCCAAGAGAAACCACTTTGGGGGTAATTGTCAACATATTCTAAAGACGTTAAAGTTTCGTTTTGCTGACTGGATATTGAGGGCACATGTCCTCAGCTACTACACAAATGAACTATATTACCCGTTACTGCATGTACGGAAGAAAAAAAAGCGTTTGCAATTTGCGACCAATGCGTCATTTCTATGTGTTATCGATATGACAGATTATTTTTTAAAGTGAGCATTTGTGCTTTTTGTTACGGTACAATATGTTATAAATGCAAACGTCTTGTTTTGTCAATTTTGTTACGTAGACTAATTATCAAGAACAGTTGGGGGACCGGTATCTCTTCAGTAACTCAGAATTTGGTGTATTTTTTAGTTCAGATGTCTTTCATAATTACAAGTTTCAGAAGGTCAATCAAGTTGCTATTTTCAACCAATAAAATCTGATTAAAGCGATTCAACCAGTGTTCTCAATAAATATAGACATGCTATTACTGTACAGTTAATTTAATACTTAATTCTTGAGCAAATTTATTTGAGGGAGCGAAGTATTGACATATCTGTGACCTCTGGCCTTTGCTCACTCACATATTTGTAATTCTCCCAGAGCGAATACAAGACTTTAGCACAGAGAGAGTAGGAGATTGATGGATGGATGGATGGATATATAGTTAGAAAGATAGATAGAAAGGTAGGTAGGAAAATATGTGTGCATATACATATATATATATATATATATATAGAGAGAGAGAGAGAGAGAGAGAGAGAGAGAAATGTGTGTCAGGGGGGGGGGGGGGCACGAGAAATCATATAAAAATATCTTTAACTAGGCGTTGTGGCGTGCGCCTGTAATCCAGCTAAAAGTGGAAGTTACAAACTGATTCAGCCGAGAACACAGGTTCGAAACTGAGTCACGTCTTTCGGATGGTGACGTAAATAATCATATCTGATTGATACACGTCTGTAAAAACGCAATACACACACACACACACACACACACACACACACACACTGGTACTGGTTCTGACAAGAAATATTGAGTACTTGTAAGCAGTAGCGTACGCAGGATTTTTTCAAGGGGAGGGGGGGGGGGTTTAACATTTTTAGAATCGGGCCAAAAAAAATCGCAGCAACTCCGCCAGCCGCTAAAAAAGAGGGGGGGTGGGGGGGGGGGGGGGTAAGAGGACCCTTTTTTTTTGGGGGGGGGGTCTCGAAATTTGAAAAAAATGACATTTTGCTTCGTTGGGGGGGGGGGTGGGGTGGGTGAGGTCATCTTTTTTAGGTCAGCCATTGGTATAATTTTGTTTTTTTTTTTTAAATTATTTTTTAATTAAAACAAAAACAAAAACAAAGGGGGGGGGGGTTGCTCCAAAAACGAAGGGGTGGGGTTTAACAAGCAATCCATTTCCATTTACCAGAAAGTGAGTAGATGTAAGTGGTGAAGCTATTTGTTTTGGCCATTCGATATAGGGGGCCTGGTCAACCCTAGTCAAGAATCTGGGCGATTTAATTTTGATCTCCACCACACCAACGCAATGCGACCTCTCCCTACTTACTTGCTGTCAGCCGAATATGGCAAGATCCTTAAATTAGGACGCCCGGCAAAACAAAATTGGGGGTGGGGCGGGGCCCATAGGGCTGGTGAGCATATATGTTCTTTCTAACACCATCTTCAGCGGCTTGAATCAAGTGTAGGGAATATATGAAGCCGGCCAAGTTCTGGACTAGGTCAACCCTCGCTTCTATCTCCCCTCTTTATAAATGATAAAAACACCCCCCCCCCCAAAAAAAAAAAAAAACAAACAAACAAACAACAAAAAAAAAAAGAGAAAAAGAGAAGAAAAAGGTGATGTGATCCCCTTCCTCATCCTCCCCTCACTTGCAGGCTTTCATCTCGTACATTTCATCCACTTGTATCCATTCATAAGAAAAGTGCCTACCCCTGCTCCAATGACATCATTACCCCAACTATGGCTGCCCCTCATGCCATGCAACAGATGATTGTGCATATCGACAACAAAATATTTAAAATTTCAAATGCGAGTTCGATTTATGAGCTAATTGGTCTCACATCGCACATGCAGGGGGAATACCCTTCACTTTCACTTTACGATACGAGAAACAATTACATATGGGTCCTTTCTGTGTTTTTTTTTCCAATCTGATAATGTAATATTTATTCCATTAGAAAATTACATATATTCATTCTCTTACTCATTGCATGAATCATAAAAAAAGATATTACATTTGGATTGTTATGAGTCATTGTCTTAATAATATAATACTTATTCCAACAAACTATGATTTTCATTTCATACGTGTGAAGTTTTAAATGAACATTAAATTTGAATTTGCTCTTGGTCAATGCGATATTTCATTCTATGATTGATCATTTCTTTCTTCTACAAGTTGCACAAATTTAGCAACAAATATGGCAATAACTCTACCAATCGTAATTTTTTTGGCACATGTGGCTCGGGACACTTAATACCCTTGGGTGTTTCTCTTTATTGGTTCTTTAACTGTCAATATAACTCTAGATAGATTTTGCATTAAACAAAAATGGTGAACATTACCTTTAGAAAAAAATTCACTCTCATGACAGAAATTCATTAGAATTAATTAAATAATCAAATGAGATGTAGACATGCAGATGCTGAAAAAGCTACTCTGAGTGCATGTATCTAAAATTGACCATGTACAGCATTTTCCAGTGTCATTAATTCCTAGGAAACTGAAAAACAAAGTTCCCACAAATTACTGTCAAGTATTTTGATTCTTCCTTTTCTTTTATGGTTCAGTCTATAAATTATGGGGAATAAACCCACATGCCTGACCTTAACACGAGTTTATAGTATAAATAAAATATATACTTGTAGATAATTGGTCCATGAAAATACGTACTGTGTAAATTTTGAAATGCATAAATTCTATTTGATCAATGAAATGACTTTATTATAAGCTCATTAAATACAGGAAAAATCAATCTTACATTTCTGTACAATCCATGAATAAATAAAGCAATTCCAGGCATCTAGAAATTCATGTTCTAATTAATATGAAACTTATAAATTACTAGAACGAACAAATGGAATCAGGAAGAACCATCTTTCAGAAGGGTTTTTCCTTGATTACAAACTATACAATGACACCATTGACAGTGAGATACCGGTACAGTACATAATGGCAAAAAACGAATATGTGAATGAATTCAAATAAATTCCAATAAATACAGCAAAGTCAAAGATTATTGAAATAGGAAGCTGGTACAATAATTTTAACTACAGCAAGCAATATTTCATCTTTTTGAAGCCAGATGGGTGTTAACTCATAATTTTACGCAGAGTTTACACCCTTCTGGCTCCAAACAGATAATTTATAGGTTAATTTTTCTTCAAACATGAATTAATTGAAATACTAAATTTAAAGCCCCACTGTACTACTTGTATGTACTTGCTCCCTCTATATAGAAAACAATGCCTAATCGGTGATCATTTGTCCCCCATGATCCTCTTTTTCTCATGTTAATTGAGAGCTGAGTTGATGAGATAGCCACCTGTCAGTGACCTCCCTGGGTGGTCTAATCCCTCCTAGCCAAACTAGTACAGACGGCCTTTAAAGTCAGTTTCAAAATAAAACATTAGGAGAGACACATTGACAAGGTTGCTAGGTGTGGCTGATGATGCATATAATTCACAATGGACTGTGTGACAAAAAGATATCCGTCTGGTATACGAAAATCTAGGGCAGAGTTGAAAAATGCTAACATAATGCCTTGAATGTTGTAAAAAGATCTCTACAGAAATTGTTGAAAGAAGACATGGAATTTCATTACGTTCCTGTGGATCGGTAAACAACAATTCCAGGCAAAGCACAAAATTGTATACATCGTATGCTGTGAGCTAGAAGACATCGAGTTCGAAATTTCCAAAGAGACAATACCATCAACAGACCGTATCTCATAAAGATAAGGTGTGACAATATATATTCCTTTGCATTATTTATTTGCTTTCTCTCCTTCTACTTTAAACCATGATCCATTTCATCCACATCTCCTTTCATCTCTCTTGATCCTTTTCCATTTTGTTCATACTTTCTCCTTTATCAGCTAGTCTTACAGAATTGTTCATTGGAAACACTGTCCAAGGCAACCGCATCACCTGTTCATTCATCTGGAGGCTTGAGGAACTTCTTTTTATGTTTCTTCCTTGGAGCATCTACGTCAGTCTGTGAGTGTATCCTCTTCTTGTCAAACTTCTTTCCTATCGTTCCAACTAGAGATGAATACCTGGAGGGGGGAGGAAGGATGGAGAGTCATTCAGACTTACGAAGTCCCATTCAAACGCAAATTGTATGACTTTATTATATGAATTTCAAGAACTGTCTGGGGGTGTTCCACAAAGATCCTAAGTCTAACTTAACTATAAGTTGGACTTTAACATTATGGAGAGCCATTTGTAGCCTTAAACTAAAATATATTCAAAAGCAAAAGTACAAGTATTTTAGACTTTTCATAAATTCCACATCAAGAACATGAAATCCTTTGATAACAGAAAATATGAATGATTTGAATCAATGTTTCTATGCCTTTTAACATATCTTGTACAAACTATTTTCAAAGATGCTAACAGCTTTCCATAATTGTTAAAGGAAACAAAAACCTTCGTACTAAGTTACTTTTATTGTCAAGTTTAAAAGATTTAAATAAAATCAGTGAAAATTTGAACGAAATCGGGCAAGGAATAAGGAAGTAAGAGCTTTTTGAAACGGCTTTCCATAGTTGTTAAGTCCAACTTAGAGATAAGTTAAACTTAGGATCTTTGTGAAATACCCTCCTGGTCTGTATTTTACCTCAATTTCAAACCGGCTGCTGAGTTTAAGCTCGGTCTAAGTCAAGTTTTTCAAAGAAAATTAAACAGAGGTCCAAGTTTTCTCTTGTTCGGCATAACTGAGTCCCAGTGTCGGGTTTTCATGCACGGTTGAGTGACTGACTGACTTTTTACATTTGTTAGTAACAAATATAAAATTAGCTGAAAAGGGTACATTGTCATTTGTACACATCAATGACTCACTTCTTATAATGACCGAAGTCAAACTTATCCACTTTTTACTCTGCCTATACGTACAACTATGTGGTACAAGGTACTGAAAATCAGATTACCTCCTAATCCTATGTTTTGCAACGCGTTTTGAAATTGCAAACGGTCGATATAATTCCACAGAGCCAATTACCAGTTCTAATCTTTTAAAAGGACTTTTTTTTTGGTATTATCTCTTGTTTACCATAGGATTTACATAATTTTATATTTTCAGCCTGCCAAAAGGGACGGACTACCTTTAAGCTAAATTCTAGCTTCATTTTCAGATCCACTTTCCCCTTTTTCTTCTCATTCCTCTTGTACAGTGAAACCTGAATAAAAGACCACTCGAGGGAGACAAGAAAGTGATCTTTATAGGTAGCCGGTCTTTGCGTACAGGTTCCTTTAGTACACTTTTCTGAGTGAAACGCTTCCAAACAAAGAAAAAAGATGTGGCTTTTCTATAAAGGTGGACGCTAAAGCGAGTTTCACTGTATTTTGGTAGTTTTTGTCTCAAATCAAACTCAAAGAGGAAATGACTTAAAGATATATTGAGAATACGGTAACAGGACTCAACAAAAAATAATGTGTAATTTCGAACATGTCTTGACTCTCAAGGCTCAAGCCCCTGCTATGAATAGGATATCAAGTTTCACTACATTGGAACTGACAACATGCATATTGTAGCATTTGCATTTGTAAAATAAAACCAAATTAAATGTCAATCAAAATGGAGCCTTATAATAGCCATACGTTACTCTCAGTGGTTTGAAATTGGAAGGGAGACTAGGAATGCATGTTAAAAGGAAGAAATAGTTACCTGTTGGCCATTTCTTCTTCTGTGACTCCTTCAGCCTTCTCTTCTAGTTCCTCTTCCTCTTCTTCTTCCTCTCCATTCATTATCCTCATCACTTTCTGAAAACATAAACAGAGGATAACTTACTTTAATTTACATGAAACCTACAAGATATGTCATTCACGGGTCATACCAGGCCAAAATATGGTCTGTACATAACCATCACGACTCCTAGAGGATATAGAGATTCACTAATACAAGGGCAATTAATAGTTTCATTCTGAAATCACATTACGACACAGTTACTACTGCTATTTAGAAAGATCACATAAAAATTACTTTTTAACCAAAGAGCCCCTCAGTACAAATTTTGTTTTCACTACCAGTAAAAAAAAAATGTATAAATTAATAAATACATTTCTTGACATGATGCTGGAACTGAAACAATGACACATTTCCTTTGTATAAATTGGCTAGAGCAAAGACTTGTTAAAGCCTATCTGCACTAGTTGGCAGGGAGCGATTACACCCCCCTGCATGGTGACTGGCAGGTGGTCATCTCATCAAATCAGCTCTCAATTAACTAAAGAAAAAGGGGACCATTGGGGATCAACAGGTACCGCTTAGGCATTGTTGGCTATATAGAGGGCGCAAGTAGCTACAAGTAGTGCAGTCCTTCGTTAAAGTAATTATAAATAACAAAATCAACAGAATGTTATTTAACCTTTGGGGCCATATTCCAAAAAGTATGTTATCTTTGATGTTAGGGAAAAAGATTTTTATCGTCATACCAAATTGAATATACTCTTACCATTGGTGCTTGTGTAGATGTCTCAATTAGGTATACTGTAAATCTCTGTGTATATATATATATTTTTTTGGTTTTGGTTTTGGTTTTGGACACCAAAGGCAGCGAGCCAGATCAAATCGTGTCTTATTTCAGCGTTCGGTCCCGTTCTGAAACCCATGCCATGCAGCGATTTGGGAAGGACTTTAATTTATTAAGAGGTGCAGTTGAAGTTGCTTGTGAACATGTCACAAATAATAGTAACAATGTTGTTTTTAAAACTAAAGATGAAAGAGAAATTTTCCTTCAAGTCCAAACAGAAATTTGGACAGGCTAGATTTTGAGTGGTGAGTCAATATCACGTGTGAGTGAGCAGAAGACACGGGAGAGCTTCGGCCAGCAAAGTGCTCTGTGAAGGGGCATAATTTATCGTGACTGAAACAAAAACTTTCTTCCCTTCCAAATAGGAACGTAGTTTAACTTCAAATAGTAGATCCTATTCTTTATTTGCATTATGCAATTCATGTGGGGACATAGAGATTTTTCGAAAACCACTTAAAAGTAGCATTTTGGGAACTCAAAATATTCTGTACCTGTATATAAGACGCACCCCCGACTTTTGAATTTTTCCAGTGGAAAAAATGTGTGTTATACACAGAGATTTACAGTAGGCCCATGCAGCCAACTTTGTGCAGATATTAACCAATGACTTGTCCTAATTTTAATTTGTTATGATTGGTAACATTTGTTTACGTGGATAAAAGATAACACAATTTTCTGAGTATGTTCCTACATTTTTACCTCTATAACAGGGTTCATGCCTTTGAAGGACATCCTGCCAAACACCAAATCCTCACAGTCAGCCATGCTATCCACCGTCTCATATCGATTCCTACAAAGAGAAGAAAGAAGGTAAAACAAGTATCAAGAAGTGCCTATTGAAGATATTAACTCTTAATCTGCTATAGCCTGAAACCAAAGACTGTCACATCGTTGGACATATATGGTACATATACAGTCAAACCTGCTTTAGTGACCACCTGTTTACAAAGGCCACATTTGTTGTTTCCCTTGAAAATGGTTTCTCATTGAATCATGTACTAAAAGAATCTGTCTAAAAAGACCGCCTGACTACAAAGGCCACTTTTTGTGTTTCCCTTGGGCGGTCGCTATAGACGGGTTTGACTGTACATCATACGTGTGACAACAAAAGTCTGTGGGAGTCCAGTGTTGTCCGATTACTTGATCCAAGACAGTAAAGATTTACATTAAAATTTGTTAATATCAAAACGTAAGTAGCTTAAAGCATACATGTAGAAACAATAGAGTGGATTACTTGTCATAAATATAATGGAATTTTGCACACTAGGATAAAAAGGTACAGGAACATTAAAGGGATCGTTTAACAATGTTAAATCTGAGATACATGGTCCTACATGTTACCAGTGTCTGTGATATGGTGTAATATGGAAGCCCTAAAAAAATCACACTTCAAAATGATCAAGAAGTGCCTCAAAAAAGTAAAAATCTTTGAGTGACCGGTTTTACCATACTCGTTTTCCCCAATAGACTGTAGTGTTATGAAAACCATTCAGCGAACGGTTTTCAAAATTTGTAATTCCAATCATTAATATCTTGATAATCAGACAGGCGATTGGCTTGTAAAATTCATGGAGTTCCTGACTTACCTAAAGGTTTTTAATTATCATTGCAGCATGAGCTAAATCAAGGATTATTTCTAAAGGATCTAAGACAAAGTTACCGGATCCCTTTAAGACATTGGGGTGTAGGAACCCTACTACACAGCTCCACAGGAACCCTCACGCAGAAAGGTGGGGGCGGGGCCAACCCAGATAACCCTAACATACTGTTGTATGACAGTTTTGTCAAAATACAATATGATCTACTGCGATCCACTTGCTTGGCTACTTACCCTTTAGAAATTAAATCTGGCAGATCCAAAACCCAGTGATCATCATCAATCTGCCGCTGCTTTTCTGATTCCAGTTCTTCTTCTGCATCTTTCTTCACTCGACGTTGCATGAACTGTAAAAGGATAGAATAGTATAAAATTTGATGGACACCCCAATAAATTACTCAATAATAATCTCAATATTTCAAATCGTAGATAGAGTTTAGAAAATTGATGTCTCTACCATCTTCTGTGTTTCCCAAGATTATGTTTTCCTTCTACTAAATTACAAGAAAGAAAACAAGAATCTACTCAGTTATTGACAAATCTTTATTATAATGAATTACAATTATAATTCAACATATTGTCTGTGGTTATGGTACAGAGCTGTTTTAATCAGTTACTATACTTCTTCCTCCTCCTCTTCTTCTTCTTTTTCCTCTTCTTATTGTACTTACTTTACTTTATGTTAACAACTAGAACTAGTCTATAGATGTAACTCCGAGTTTCAGCTCTGCCACTATACTTTCTCTTTATCTTACTCTTCGTCTTCTTTTTTTTCCTTTTTCTTCCATCATTTTATTTAAATGAATAAACCTGCCATTACTAAACTCTGTCTCAGCTCCCAAAGTTTAAGGCTTTATTCCTGAAAATTCTTGCAAATGAATGAGGTGGACATGTAGAGTAAAGGAGCCCGTTTTCGGCCACTTAAGACAAAATCCTATTTTTAGGACCCTTTACTTCCTATTTATTATCATTTTTTGTTCAAATCATGAAGCAAATATTATTATTATTTAAACAAAACAAGAATCCCAGAAAATAATCACGAATTGCCATGACAATATTTATTTCAATTTTCACTGTTTCGGAGTCAGTTTTCGGCATAGCGTACCAGTTTTCGGCCGCATGTACAAAGTCAATAGGAAGCGCGCGCACGCGCCATGCGTTTCCGCGCTGATCTATAGCACTAGCGGGCGGAGCAGATATCCCACGCCGGAGCTCCCCGGAGCTCGCCAGGCCAACACTAGTACTGTGGTGATCGGATATTGGAATCTGAATTAGACAGAGATATCGTGTGTGCGTTGCGGTGTGCGGCTGCACTGATTTAATACATGCGATGAGATACTTTTGAGCTTGCGACTAGCACAAAATCGGGCTCTAAATCTGAAAAATACTTGAAATAAAGCTCATTTTATGGTACCCATATTTCTTACAGACACGCGTAAGATACTCGATTTTTTCAGATTCGGGTAGGCAAATTCATGCAAAAAAATATATTCAAAAAATTGACTTGAAAACACATCACACAATGAGTCTGAACCGAGTCAGGAGCAAATTTGAAGAAATTATATTTTTAAATGTTGTAAAACCAAAGATATAAGAAGAAAACTGACCAAGTATCTGTACTAAAAATCGTACATGTAAAATTGGTCGTAGATATTCGACAGCTGAATATGACGCGCATGGTTGCATTACGTGCGTTCTCGAATCCAAAATCGTACCTCACACACACATCTCGCCATACCGCGAATGGTCCGTCTTGGGGAGCTAGCCGGCTGAGAGTTTGCAGCGATACCAACGCAGCTTCGGAGCTCCGCAGCGCGCCATTTTAGCGGGACTCGGAAAGGTTTGCGATGGGAAGGCAGCGGCCTAGCTTTTTGCCCAAACAACGCTAGATCGGCCGCTGGCAAAATGAAAATAACTACGATCGAGAACATCGTCGGTTTCTTAACTTTTCAGTGAGATAATTCTGAATTCTAATTGAGATTATATAATAAATTAAATCGACAAAGAAACCTCGGTAGAACTCTTATAACTATACAAAAGCTTGTTTATTTCTTCATTTGACATTTTGTTTTCGACCATTTTTTCGTGCGCGAGTCAATGTAAACTATGTATTACCAAACTTTCAACACGCAAGGAACGGGGAACACTCGCGGACCTCGTAACAAATTCGTTGCAAAAAAAAAATTCAAGGGTGATTTTAAAGCAGTGAAGAACATTGGCGCTGCAATGCGCAGAAATATACTTGAAAGAAACTTAAAAAATAATACCTGAATTTTCAGAAAATCGTATTTGTATTAGTGTACCTAGATGTGACTTGTTTATAAATCAGATTTTATGAAGATTTGTCGCGAAAAAATGTCAATTTTTTCCGTTTGGTGGTCATTTCTAGGCTAATATTTTAAAAGTTGCATCAGTAATGGGCCCGATGTTTCTCTTATCGTACTCGCATGTTATTTCTACATAGATTAAACATAGGATGGTTAAGGGTAAGACCAGATAACATTATAAAAAAGATATATCCTTCCACCCTCCCATATCCAAGTTTTGGGCTGATTATAGCCGACCCACCGCAGCAAGGCCATTCAGAGTTTCGTACGCGCGCAAAGCGCCCTCTAGTGCCCCATGAATGTGCCTAATTCGGGTAGCGGGACCGCCGATTACATCGCTCAAATGTGATATTTTAGCAGTGAAAAAAATACACGGGGGCTCAGGGCGAAATAGCCCCCGAAATGCCTAAAGGAGCCCCCGAAAATCAGAAAAGAGCCCCGTAAATTTGCATAGAGTTCAATGCAAAACAAATTTTAGAATGTTATTTTCATGCAGGCAAGCTTGAAAAGTAGCCCCCGAAAAAGAAATATTATTTTTTTCCCTGTATTTTAGGATATATTTTTCATTGCAAATGTGGTTCTTCAGTGACACTGGCATGGTATGGTATGTGTGGGATATGTGTTATGCTATTATGCGATGTATTTTAGAGTGATTTTACCTTGCATCCAACCAATCGGCCGAAAACTGAAGCTGGTTGTTTACCGGCTCCTTTACTCTATATCACAGAAGACATGATGAAGTGCCGACCATGCATTGAAGTGTCTGCAAGGCAGTACACCTACTACTACTACTAATATTCAATGCACATAACATTCAAATATTACATCATTAATCTGGAGTAGACGACGCTACAATTGTCATTACCACTCCAGCAAAGCATAGAGAGTCATAGACCGAATTTTTCGTCTCTTTCGTTCGTTAGCCTCTTATTGGGGTAGGGTCGGCGGCTCTACCCCAATAAGAGGCTAACGAACGAAAGAGACGAAAAATTCGGTCTAAGAGAGTCAATGCCAATTAATGGTCATTACCTACTTTTTTTAATGCGACTCCACACAAAACTGAAGGTATGGGACTGAACTTAAAATTGGTGCCTTTACTGATCGCAGTAATACTATGTTGTAGTAAAGATTATAGTATGATTGTATGATACTAAGATTGCCATCTTACCTTCATCTCGGACAGGTTCTTAGAAAGGCGGACATTTTTGTTTTGCCCTCTATTTCCGGCCATTTTGGACGGAGAACTGGGCTCGCGTGGGGAAGAAAAGAAGATATAGTGTCTCCAATGAGCCAAATTACAAAAGAAAAGTACATGATTATCATGCGGCAGGCAAGCTACATGTGAAAGCCTTGATGGTGAAAGAATCCCGGCAATTTATAATTAATATGCCTTTTGACCCCTAATCCGAATTCGTGTGATTCATCTCGAGTGTTTGATCGTGTATAGGGCAATGCAAAAGTAGAATAATATTCAGAGGCTGTACCTTGTACGCGACGTAGCACATCCATCGAAATCGTTGAGCACATCCCTGTGGCTACGCGCGATGTCTTGTCCCCATTCGATAGAACATGCAGAATGTAACAAATGTTCTTTTTGTTAAAGATATTGAAAGAAATTCACTAAAAATGGGACTGATAATTCCTGTACTTTACACTACTTGTATTAAAGAGTACTGTTGCTGGGCGTCATTTCATGGGCGTCCATAGACGGCGTGTGCGCTCTATATAGTTTACACTATTACGTAACCTACTCTCTAAAAAAAAATCGAGTGATCACGGACGTCACTCCTCTGGAGAGTGAAAATGTAGTGAAAATAGAGTGAACATTCACTCTTTTCTTCTTAAAGAGCACTCTAAAATCAATCGATTTTCACTCCTAAACAAATGATCACGGACATCACTCCCAAGAAAGTGAAAATAGAGTGAAAATTCACTCTTTTTTTAAGAAAGTAACTTTCCATCGATTTTTCAATAATTTGTTTCATTTTTTGTTGTTCTTATTTTTCCCTTTTTCTAACTTATGATATGGGTATCTTTGAAAGAGACATTTCATATTAGTCTGTGTAATGCGCAAGCCTGGACTGAGAAATTAGAAACAGACCATCTTGAACATGTGTCAAGTTACTCTTCCTTAAAATAAATGCTATAGCGCAACCTTATGCTGATTCTAGAGACGATTCTATAGGATCACTCGATTTTTTGTTAGAGAGTAGGTTACGTAATAGTGTAAACTATATAGAGCGCACACGCCGTCTATGGACGCCCATGAAATGGTGATTCTAGAGACGATTCTATAGGAAAAAAGTCTCTTCTATTCAAAATAGGTCCGAAACTTAAACTGTCGATTTGTCCCACATTTCGGATATTTTCAGTTTGATCTATTCCTACTATGTTGCAAAAGGATAGTACGAATGCACATGTTTCTTTCACGTAAATAATACTTCACAAATTTTGTGAAGTATTATTTAAAGTGGATTGTGGCATTAGGATATCAATATTTAACTTTCAGTGATAAAGTGCGCAAAAGAAGAGCAGACGGTCCGTCTGACACGGATGGACAGAAAGATTTATAAATTCTCTTGCTTTGACCGAATCACACGTCTTTTTCCATCCTGTTTCTGTCTGCCTGGCTCTCTCTCTCTCTCTCTCTCTCTCTCTCTCTCTCTCTATCATTCTCCTGTTCTTTTCGTTTCTCTTTCTCTCTCTCCCCTTTCCTCTCCTCTTCTCTTCCTTCTCTTTTTATTATAACTAAATGAAATTATCACAAGGCGTTATAGCATGCACAGCTTCGTCGATGTTGATTGTTCTACCAATTTGTTGCTAATGATTCCAGAGTAAAAATTGTATTATTTTTCGGTATCTTATTAAACACAAATAGCCTTCTTAAATTACTGTCGGCATCATGATACGAGGAAAAAAATCATGTCGCGTTGGTTATTTTATAACACTAGAACGGAAAATCCTCCTCTCAAATATTTTGATGCTTATACTATTTTTATTCTTGATCCTGTACTAACGTAGCTACTCCAGAAAAATATTCAAATTAGACACGCGGTTGTTTGATCAAGTAATTGCATAACTTTAAACAATTGTGTTAATCTATCTCCGGATCAAGCGCGTACGCAGGGGGGGGGGGTGAACCCCCCCCCTTTGGTATTTTGTATGCATGTATTTTGGAGGGAAACTCCCCCCCTTTTTTTTTTTTAAATTGGAGAAGAAAAAAAAACACAAAAACACAAAATATGCTAATGGTGACCTAAAAAAAGGCGACCTTACCCCCCCCCCCTCTCCCCCCCCCCGCTTATTCAGCGGTTGGCTGAGTCTTTGCGAAAACTTCGGCCCGATTTAGAAATGTTAACCCCCCTCCCCCCCCCCCCCCCCCCCCCCCCCCCTCCCTTTAAAATCCTGCGTACGCTACTGCTCCGGATAGTTCGATTGTTGCCGTTGTTACTCATGTCTGTCATCGAAATGTGCATTCCAAAAACCTGAATACAGTTTGAGTAATTAGTACAGTTGCTGTTAGCCTAGTTTAGTATAATTAGCCTGATTCTAATTTGTTTGAATGGCACTAATCTCATGTATGATGTTGTTGAGCAGCCGTTTCAGTTCCATTTTTTCCCTTCAGCTATAATAATACATTTAGTCATAATGTATTGTCTTTAAATGACATATCTTTATCCTCAACATTCCATTTTATTTCAAACTCCAGTCGAAGTTAGTCGAAATTAGAATACACATGGAGAAAGATTCGAGCACAACAGATTTAGTGTAGTGTAGGGGTAGGAGGAAATTGTAACCCCTCCCATGCTTTATCTCCCCTACCTCGATCCGGCCAGGTGACCTTCACTAACTATAATTATCAAGGTCATCAACTAGTTGCTTTTCAAAAAAAAATACGACCAACCTCGTCCCCCTTTAAAAGTTATCTATTTACTTTTTAATTTCCAACTATGTCCAATTCAGTTTTTCCTTCAAATTCCAAACACCTTCACCAAATCCTCGCCAATGGGTTGAGCAAAAGAATATTTCTCATTATCTTTTAGTGACATGGTGCGCAAAAATATCAGTCTCAAATTGCATGAATCTATCTTTCTCTTCCCCCCCCCCCCCCCCTCTCTCTCTCTCTCTCTCTCTCTCTCTCTCTCTTGCGTGGTCAAACTCAATGTCATTCACAAAGCAGATGATGAATATCTAAAGAAACGAAAAACATCATTTTTCTATAAATGCTTTAACTATTAAAGCCTTTCGAATGCCCCCCCCTACACACACACACACACACACACACTTTCATGGCACCCTCTCCCCCTCTCTCTCTCTTTCTCTCTCACACTCTCTCCCCCTCTCTCTCTCATCTCAATCTCCTTATCTCCCTGTGTATCCTACTCCCCTCCCCCATTCCTCTTTATTTATATTCTTCTCTTTGCTGATTTTACTAGCACTATTGCATCTCTCTTTCTCTCCATCTGATTTTGTATATTTCACGTTTTACTATAATCTATTATTTCGTACTACACTTCACAAAAAGTGACATTGAAGAATATGATACTTTTTTGCTAGTCTGCTACTTTATTCTCCCCGACAGATCTTAAACAACAATCTTTCCATGCCCGTCTTTGGTAGAGCCATGATGTTGTTGGTGAGCTGGATGATGGGGGAAATAGCCTGTGACACTCAAGTCACTCCACGATGCAGACTGATCGCCATCCTCCATTTGGACGACAAACACCAACGCTCTGGATAGCTGATAAAGTGAAATTGATCTCGTAGAAGGCATGCCTTCGGTCAACCGGACTGGTAACGAGTCCGGGGATGTCTGGAAACTCATGGACTTGGTAAGAGATGATAGGCGGTCCACAAGTTGTAGAATGATCCAATGTCATCACATCTATGCAAATGAGGAAATGTAGGAATAAAAAGACTTTTCTTAATCATGCGTATTCGTAAAATACTTATTTTTCTATTGTAATTGTAAATTCATTATTTTTGTTTTGTTACGTTTTCTAAACTGAATTGTACCAAAATACTTTGTTTAGCTGTTAAAGGGATGAGGCTCGACTAGCAAAACTACTATTATCTGGCCCCTTTTACCAACCAATAAACTATTCGTGTTTATGTAAACACATTGTATTACTGTATTGTTGTTGGTAAATAAATCAAATCAAATCAAATCATATACTCACGTGACACCGACAGGACTGACAACAGACCCGCCCCCAATAGCCCGAGCACAAGAAAGTTAATAAAGTCAAGAAAGATCTACTAACCTGCAGGTGGACGGAGGATGAACTCAATCGCCTTATCGATGTCACTCTGGTTGTATGACTCCTCTGCCTCGTTCATGGTACGATATTTCTTGGTTGGGCCAGGCTTTCCAAAAACTTCGAAGATCTCTTTCTCATCCCAGCATCTAGGCAAATTTGCAGTAACATTTGATGCAGAGGATTTTGTTGCGAGGACACGAGGATTAGGCGCAGTGGTATTGTGCGCAACAAGTTGGGGCTTCTGGCTTGATGACGCCACAATGGGGCCTTTTGCTTCTTGCACAAGGATTGGCATCACCTTAGAAACGATACAATACAAGGTAAGAAAACATGAAGAGCCTTTGAAAAAGTGTAAAATGACTGAGCGAGTCCGAATGTCCTCTCACAAGTACAAACAATGAAAATAAAGGGGACAAAATTAACACCATCTCAAATTTGCAGATGCATTTTCAATACCACCATCACCACCACCAGTCAAAACTCTTCTTCGGAGTATTTAGGAGGAAAAGAATCCAAGATCCAAGAATACCAAATTAGGTCAGGAGCAACTAAAATGGGAACTTGTTTTTGCACATTTTGATTTTTTGGATATTAAGAATACCAGAATGGTTTTGCCTGATGAGAGGGAGGAGGAGGGGGGGGGGGGGGGGGGAGGGGGAGGGTTCACACCTATTATTCGATTAAAATTGTATATCATTATTTTGATAAAGAATTCAAAATGATATCAATATGTCATGCAGTTACCTTGTTTTGACGCCTGAATGACGAGTATCCACTATTCATCTTCGGTCGGAATTTACATCGAAGAAACTCTTTGATCCCCCTTTTGCTTTTCTCAGGTTTTAAAACCATAATCTTGGATTGATTGCACCCCATGTTGAAAACAATTTTGATTGAAATAATTTTCAGAAGGATGATAACGCAAATGATAGCTAAATGGCTAGCAAGAGAGCTAATATTAGCTGCCAGTAAGTCACTCGAAAAAGCGATAGACTTATGTTGACATTAGAAACGCATATCTTTATACCAGCTGAAGCGCGCTAGCTACGCGCATACTCTGTGACGTAATAATGGGAGTAAATATCGACTGGCATGACGTCACATTGAAGCGCGCAAGCTACACACATTTTGTGTGACGTAATAATGGGAGGCACTGCCCTGTAGCCCTCTTAAGTCAATTTTCATGATTTCACCAACAAATAAACGGTTTTCTCTGACCGTTCATTCATTAAAAGTAACAGCAAAAGTATTCATTAACATTCATGTGGCGTTATGATGCAAATATTAAAACGATCGTGTTGTGTTGGCTCAGTCAGTAGAGCGTCCGCCTTACAACCGGAGGTCGTGGGTTCTAACACCGGCCGCGTCATACCTAAAGACGTTAAAAGACGGTAGTTGCTGCTACCTTGTTTGGCGTTCAACAATATGGGATAGAGCAACGTCGATCTGGCGCTGCTCAGTGGCTGCCGGGCTCACGATCAATTTGACAAGACGAATTTCCATTTTCGGCTTAACTTAATAAAATTTGGAGTGGACTTTAAAAAATTATTATTATTATTATTATTATTATTAATATTATTCCAACATAGTTTAAGGCACATGCACATATATATATATATATATATATATGTATCAGAACTGGAGTTGGCCGTACACAACATTTCCTACATAAAATTGGAGCTGAATCATCACCAAACTGCGCATGTGGAGAGATCCAAACTATGGACCATGTCATCGATGTTTGTCCGATCTACAAATCCCCCCACGGCGCTTCCGGACTTCGCGAGCTCGATGATGAGACAATATGTTGGCTTAATAAGGATCTTCCTATCTAGATGATGTACTCCCTGATATTCTTTGCACGAACGAACGATGCACATTGTACGTGAACATCGAAAAACTGCATTACAGATTTCCTTTTTTGTTGTTGTCTAAAGTGAGATATTCGCAATTCTAAAAGATAACTGCATAGCTTACAGTAAAATGTTGTACATTCAAGCTTTTGTGTAATATTCGTGTCCATTCTATTGATTAGCAGTAATAGTCTATGACTGTATAGTTTAATGTGAATACCACTCAGTCTACCATCTACTTCTTACTCTTTCTATTTCTCACTCTCGGCTCTTTTCTCCTCACCTTTTTATCTTTCCCCTCGTATTAGTATTCGTATTAGTATTCACATCATTCTACCCCCTCCGTTTTCTTCTCCTCGTTCTCCCTCACCCTCTTCCTCTCTCTCCCTCTCTCTATCCCCTTCTTCATCTTTACCATTGGAAGCCCATAACTAAATGTGGTGACTCGAAAGTAAATCAATTGAGTATGAGGCACTGATTTTGATGTGCCTGTGTTCTGTGGAATATTATTTTCAAAATTCAAGGGAGTGAAAATGTTGGGAGCAAAGGAGCACCACCCCCCCCCCCCGACGCAAAGTTTCCCCGCCCTTTATCCGCTTGTACACACACCAAGGTCATCATAATAATTTGATATCCTGGACATAATCATCATCAACATCTTCATAATGACTATCTTTAACGCTAAGACTGATAACACCGACAATAATTTTTGCTTCGTCGATGCAATCATAGGTCACAACCATCACAGTAATAATTTGTAAGAAAACACACACACACACACACACATTAACAACACCATATAAAGCTTCAAAAGAGCAAAGTGATAAAATTTGCAATCGAGGCGAAAATTAAACAGTATCAACACTGTTTCCAAAAATTCAAGGCACCCCAACCCCCCTCCCCCCCCCCAAAAAAAAAAATCTAAACTGTGTTATCGTATGACAGAGAATGAATTCATGGTTAATAGGTACATTTAGTTCAGTTAGTCAGATTCTCTGCTTACAACCACACGATAAACGTACTAGTAAGAATAAAACCCTTTTCAAAATAATTCACTGCAATGGTTCAATGTTTTATAGTGCTAAATCACTTACTTGACTTGTACCTAAAAATAATATGTACTATCAACAATCTAGGACTGTTAAACAAGTGCCTCTTCACGTAGGCCTACTTCGAATCATCGAGTCATCGCGTATAGAGTCCGGGGTGGTAGCGTTACCCAACCTTTTGTGAAAAATTGCCCTTTTATTCACGAAATATCAGGGGTAGAGTGTTTGAAATTAACCCTCTCATCTACAAATGGTCTGGTCCAATTCACCCGACACGTTGTGAAAACCCTAAGCCAAATCTAAGAAAGGTGGCATTATCTTCCGCATTTGTTTCACGAAAGGCCGTGTAACCCGACCACCCGACCAGACGCGATAACCCGGCGATGGTTCAAAGTAAGCCTATTCCATATACCATAAAATGGGGGTGAATAGGACAAAAATGAAAGGATTTATTTAAAGAAGATGTTTTTATTTTTCCAAGGGGCGCCGCAGAAGACACATCTAGATTCGATTATTCCTAATAACAGTACATTCTAAAAAGGATCGGGCTTATTGCTGGGAAACAAATATGTCGGTGGGTCCAGCCGTTGAGGGTGCGTGGCTCCGGACTAACATGGTTGATGAAGCACTGAAAATAAGGATACCAAATTAGAGGGGGGGGGGGGGGGGGGTTAAAGGGATTTGCAGAATTTTACTTTCACTTTGCCGTCCCCTCTTCTTCTCCTTTTCTCCTTTCTCTCCAAGTTCAGTTGGCCCCTCTGACTGTCTGTCGGTGCGCTCCCCCTCTATCTATATCTTGCATGTTCACAAATTATATGTCATTGACAACAAATATCATTTTAAAAATGTGTACAAAGAGATGAAATTTGTTAGTGAGCTCAAGAGCAATTGCTTTCACGTACAATGTCATCAAGTAGAAACATTATAGTCCCTTAGACAATTGTTACCAATTAGAAAGTAATTGACAAAATATGTAAACCAAAGAAATTCGAGGCGCCAGTTCGTAGATACAACTGCGCATGCGCAGATAAAGGTCACTATGTACAAAATTGTAAAATCCACTGAGACTAATACTGGATACATGCTCACGAAAGTTATGTAATCATTATTCATGCATGCGCCAGTGATACATTATATAAGGGAGTTTACATGATAGCACATGGTACAAATGACCCCCAAATATCCACAGATCTTACCCATGGAGAAGTTCCACTTTGAGCATTAAAATAATAACTGCCAAAGTCCTAGATGTGCTTCATGAATACCTTTTGTTTGCCCTCTTGAAAAGAATACGTCCGCCTGCATATCATAGAATGTACCGTTGGTGCATAAATGAATAATGTTACATAACATTCATGAGCGCATATCCAGTATTCAACTCTGTGGTTTTTTTTTTACCTTTTTGGTACAAATGACCTTTATCTGCCCATGCGCAGATTGTATCTGTAAACTCCCTTATTGAACACAGGTGAAAGTAATCCGTTCAAGAGGGCAAACGAAGAATCACCTCCATTACTTTAGCTGTGATTATTCTATAAGGCACAAAGTGGGATTTATCTATGTTTAAAAGTCTGTGGATATTTGGGGTCATCTAAACCATGTGCTAACTACGAACTTGTATATTGCTTCTACTCTGCTCGTTAAAAGGTTTTGACATATAACCCTGACATTAAGTTTACTTCGTCGATTAAATCATAAGCCACGATCATCAAATTGATAACTTAATACAATGAACGCTAGCTAAGGTCCATAAATAAAGGTTTTCTTGCTTTTCATCTAAAAAAATCTATTTATCAATACAATACCGTTCCACAGTAATTGTCAATCATAATTTTCATAATATAATTGCTTTTTTGTGTGACATAGCGAATCCATTTTAATATAGTGTATAACTATGATTAAAAAGAGGATAGAAAAAAACGGTTCCCTTTATTTGCACATCATAATCATTAAATGGTGTACACTACATAATTTTGTTTAAAAGTGAGAGAAACAAACGACTTTTGGATCCAAACTCATCGTGCGATCCTAAACAATGAAAGTGACAAAAATAAGGCTTTATTCTCCTTATAAAAAAACGAAAATGAATTTTAGATTGTCGTTCACGTAACATAAAATCAGGTACCAACTCCACATACATGGGAATATAACATGGATTTTCTTTTATTTAGTCCAAGAAGAAAATCAACTAAAAATGTACAATAATTTAAGAAATGAAATACATGTACGTTCGTCGTGTTCGTCATTCTAAAATATAATGACCATAGTTTAACTAGAAATTTCAATTTATCAGAGTGTCTAATGAAGGTATATATACATGTAGCATATACATGTAGAAGCATTGTTGTACTGAGATATGTTCAGTTAGTTTCAGCTGAAAGAGTGCGGGTTTGAGTCCTTGCTTGGTGCCAGGACTGCTTGGTGCAATCGTCTTTATAAAAGGTATTTTATTTATAGATGCCTTTTTAGACCCAGGTGTAATAAATGGCTACCTGGCAGGATTGATTCATTAATTAACTGCGCAATGCGTTCACACTGAATACCACCACTGATGATTCCATTCCTGAGTGATGTCTGATATTTCGAAATGGAACGTCATCATATTGTTTGGCAGTTATTTTTACTCACGAGACCAGCGTCGAAAATTCAGCTTAAAGATCACCAGATTGACCGTGATGAGGACGAGAAGCGCACCGTACACTACAAATACCGTGCCAAACGACGATGTGACGTCATAGATATAACCTGGAAGAAAGTTAGATAATTTACAATTACACGTCAGTCAAAAAATGTACATGTACATGTATCATGTTCAGAAACATTGTTTTAGTGTTCAAAATCCATTATCATGTGAGCTGAGATATATACGTAAATTCTCTGTTATGCCCACAAACTCTATTTTATACTGATGCAAAGAAATTTTCCGAAAGATGGGTACCTTTTGTCGTAGTAACTATATTTATCATTAAAGGGCTACTCTAACCCAACTAACATAGCTTTTTAAAACATAAATACACGTCTACCTAGTAATATTCCAGCCTCTGATTTTTAAGAAAATCTCTGTATTGACCAAAAGATGATAATAACCATCTATTTTTCACAATTTTCACGCTTGCTGGGCGACGACCCTCGAAAAGAGGTAATACGGCCACGTGGCCTTAACGACTCATTTGACGTCATTGCGGGCGTGTCCGATTTGTCCTACAACTAAGGATCTTACAATCTCATTGTAATTCATAAATGAAACGTACTGGGATTATCAAGTGCATATTATGTTTTCGGATCAGCCTTTGATATTTTTTTTTCTTCAAATAATATCATAGTTTTCTTTTTTAAAGACATGTAATGCCTAAATCACCCTCCTTTTCAGAGAGGCTCCTGCAGTGACGTCATAAACAGTTGCGCAATACGCAAACTGGGCTTTTTTTTCTGAGCGTTCTGATTCGTCGTTTTGTAAGGTAGATTCCAAATTATTGATGATTTCTAAGAAAAATTGTCATGTTAGAAATCTCGGTTTAAAAAATTATTCTACATGTCTTGTTTTTTCATTTTTCAGCCCGTTTTGGTAAGAGTGGCCCTTTAATATTAGTATTTTTTTTTAAAGAAAAGAAATGAAGATATGCACAAGTTGAAATTCAGTCATTAGTTAGAATTGTACTAAACAGCAGTATTTCTTACAAATGGCCAACATGTTTCACCTCAGTCCGTACATCTTGTCGAAATAAATATTAATTCCTTAATGACTGAAGTATTGCATCTAAATAGTTTTTAATCAAGAGGTATTGTAGTAGGTACATGTCATTTTCCCAAAGGTATACGTTATTCACAAAGTTTATTCATCCGAAGGTTTATTATTCCTAAGGTTCAATTCCTAAAGGTTGGTTTAATATTCCGAAAATGACAATGGTTCATGATACTGAAAATCAAAGAGGACTCATTAAAGGTTCACAATTCCGAAAGTGAAATAGATCCCTGGAATCAATTTCGGAATGTCGAATGTTACGAAACCCTTGTTATGGAATATCGTCTTTCAGAAGTACGAATCTGCGGAATTACATGTATGAGCCTTCCGAAAAACAAGTGTTCTCAAATTGAATACAGAAACATCAAAATAGGTTATTAAACACTCAAACGTAAAAGTTATCGTATCAAACACTTAAAATTACCCGATAAAGCGTCTCCTGTTATTACAGCTATCCCGACTAGTAATAGAGTTGTTGACATGGCTCTAGGAATGTTCGCTTCGTTTCGAACAGATAGCTTCATCATCGCGTGTGGAAGACAGTCTAAAATGAAGAAGGTGGTACCTTGGATGAGTGCCATTGCTGCTAGGAAAATGTAGGTGGAACTGACAGAGTCAATAAAACACGAGATTGCACTGATTGTGCAAGTGAAACAGAAGATAATGGTATTGTCACATTTAAAGTGTAGGAGGACTAGGTACAATATGCGGCCGAATATACCGCTGATGCCGGCTATAGTGGAGAGAAAGACTGCATTGGATCGTTCAATTCCCGCTTCTTCTGCGTGAGGTACGAGAAACAGCATCCAAGCGTTCATCACAAAACGTAGTAAGAATATGGCCGGAGCGATGAGGGTGTAATATGGTTCCTGGAAGAAAATGAATGATGTCAGTGTTGCCGTAAATGAATCACATGAGCACCGCCAACTTGTGCTGCTTGACGCCCTCGCCATTGTATCATTCTTGGACTTCGAGTCTTGCTCGTTCAATTCTGGCAAGGCTGTTGAAGTCTCACCTACAGCTAGTACATCAATCTCGGTTGGCTCAGCTGGTTGGACTACTATCAATGATTCTCCTTCTCCTTCGGCGGAGGGTCTCACGTTGTCTCTGTTCATATCCCTAGGTGGTCTGATGACAGCACCGCAAACCACGGCGTGGAGAGCAATGCCGCCCAGGATGAGAAATACACCGTTGTATCCATAGGCTTCAAAAGACCTCTCTGTGATGACAGGGACCAGAAAAGCGCCGCACGTCGTCCCGAAGAGGGTCAGGGTGTTTGAGAAGATGAACGACTTAGCGAAGTAGTCGTTGATGTACACCAATATCGGGAAAAACGTAAGAGCCATGCCGAAACCTAGGAAGGTTAAACGGAAATTAAGATTTATAATAGACAAGTTGTTCAAGGAAATTAACGATATTAGGCAAAGTAGTTTACGTTTGTGTATATGGACACTATATATAAATACGAGAGCCATGCAAAACCTTGGAAGAATGAATAAGAAACAAAATGAGGATTTCTATTTTATAGTTCGAGAAGATAAAAACTGTGCAACGCAGTTGTAGATGAATACCATTATCTGGGAAGGTGTGAAAGCTGTGTCAGGCATGGTAAACTAGTAAACAACTTATCATTTAAAAGCTTAGCAAATGCTCTTCAAGATGTGATGGATTTTAAATGTCGGTATTCACATAGCCTAATTCATGTACTTTTTCAAAGGCGGGTTTCCTTTTTATCAATTTGTAAGGGTACCTGAACAAAAGAATAGTTTTCTGATTATACATTAGACAACCCTGTTTTAGAACGATACAAAGTTCACGACAATTGAGACCGTTTTGTTTTAAATTTCGCACTGTGTTAAAGTCACTTTACTCTACCTGTTAAAGTCATTTGACTTTACCTGTTACAGCCAACATCATCCCGAGGATGTAGATTGATTGGGCCAAAGGAGCACAGATAATGGGCACTGCACTTAACAGTCCGCCAATCATCCCCATTGTCCGCGGCGTCATCACTTTCACCAAGAGTATGGCAATGGGAGCTACAAATTTATAAGAATGGAAAAGCGACAAAACAGTTTCGTGATTATCTATTTCAGATTAATTTTAGTTTTTTATTAAGTATTAACCCCGAGACCGTAGAAATACTGGCTGGGTTCCAGCGGGGTGTTAGTCTGATCCCGGTTTTTTTACCAGAGGAGAGGAGCTAATAGGTGACGCAGTTAGCTTTAGAAAAACTCTCATAACCCTATGACGAGAACATGACAAGGCGGGTTGGGTCGCCTTCAAATAAACCCCGTCCTGCACCGGGCAGCAGCGATGCAGTACCTATAGTTGGCGGAGGATCGAAATCTTGGACAACGGTGGCTATGGGGGAGCAGAGGGCAGGTCGGCATCAATGCTTCTGGCTTCTGTACTGCGATGGAAGGATCTGGCCGCCCACCATTATTAATTGGTCACGTTTGTCATCATGAGAGTACAAAATCAACAAATCAAGTGGGTATCGGAAGGTGGAACCCGCAGGCCAGAAGATACGTCAAGAACTACTGCGGAAGAGAAAGGTACTGCTCGTCGTACGCTTGCGGGTTATGACGGATCAGGAAGTTCTTTTATTGAAGGTCCCATGATGGGAAGGAACAGCACCCCTCTAAGGAAACCAATCAATGTAGCCACGTGGAACGTGCGTGGTATGTCAGATGGGAAGGTGGAAATGGTGGAGAAGGAGATGGCTATAAATGATATTGAAGTTTTGGGAATATCTGAATCATGGTGGCTTGGACAAGGCAGATTTACATCAGACGAAGGAAATACAATCATCTTTTTAGGGAAAGAGAGTGGAAGGAAGCGAAGGGGTGTGGGATTCATCATAGAGAAGGCTACAGCTAAATGTGTCTTGGGATACAACCCGATCAACGAGAGGATTATGACTGTGAGATTACAATGGGCATCCTATGAATATCTCCATAATTCTGGTATATGCACCAACAGCAGATGCACCGGAGGAAGAAATCACTGATTTCTATGAGATGGTATAAGATGTCGTAGACAGCATTCCTAAGAAGGATTTCCTCATGATATTGGGTGATTGGAATGCCAAGATTGGTAAAACGAGGGAAAATCTGAGTTCATTGGCAATTATGGTCTTGGCATCAGAAATGAAAGAGGAGATCGACTGGAAGAATTTTGTGTAGCAAACAACTTCATCATTGGTAACACATGGTTTGAGCATCATCCCAGAAGACTGTGGACGTGGATGAGTCCGGGAGACAGAGCCAGAAACCAGATAGACTACGTCATGTTTAAGAAGAGGTGGCGAACTTCACTACAGAACGTCAAGACAAGACCAGGTGCTGACTGTGGCAGCGATCATCAGCTGCTTGTGGCTAAACTGAGACTAAGACTGAAAGCTAAGAAATGTGATTCAGCTCCCACAAGGTATGATGTGGAAAATATCCCTTCTCAATTCTCAGTGGAAGTGAAGAACAATTTTGAGCTGCTGTTGAGAAACGATGAAGCAGAGCAAACACCAAATGAGCTGTGGGAAAACATGAAAGAAACAGTTGAAAATGCAGCAAAGAATCATATCCCAAAGAAAAGGAAGCTGAAACAACCATGGATCTCAAATCAGACTTTTGACATTGCTGATGACAGGAAGAGGGCAAAAGCAAAACGCAACAGAAGAGAATGGACGAGACTCAATAAGGCGGTTACAAGTAGTGTGAAGGAGGACAAAAGGAAATACATCGAGGGGAAGTGTAAAGACCTAGAGCGTCACAAGAACAACTCTAAGGCAGCATTTGCAATTGTGAAAGAAATCAGAAAGAAGAGAATCCCGAGACTGGATGTAATTAATGATGAAAATGGCAAAACACTGACGGAGAATGAAGACATCAAAGACAGATGGGTGCAGTATAGTACCAAGCTGTTTGCTGCACAGGAACAAGTTGACACTAAGTGGGAGGAAAGTGATGAAATGGAGCCCCGTCCCCTCCATTAAGATCAGAAGTGGAGCTTGCAATGAAACAGCTGAAGGATGGCACACTATGAATATGACAGACAAACAAAGCGGACAAAATATACAGTTCCTCAGGTAGACAAAGGAACATTTTTTCACTGCTATTATGTAAAAAGGTGAATATGCATGTGACACCTGTTCAAAACATTTTTACATAATAGCAGTGAAGGGATGTTCCTTTGTCTACCTGAGGAACTGTATATTTTGTCCGCTTTCTTTGTCAGCCATGTTCATAGTGGCAAGTCCCCTGGCTTTGAAAACTTGACTTCCGAGATGTGGAAGGCTACAGGTGAAGAAGGTAGAGACCTGATGTGGCGTCTCTGTTGCAATATCTGGAATAGTAGGGAGTGGCCCAAGGACTGGTGTAGAGCTGTTTTTATATCATTGCCAAAGAAGGGAGATCTGAAAGAATGTGCAAATCACCGAACGATCAGCTTGATTTGTCATCCAATCAAAATACTTCTGAAGGTGATTAGCAGAAGAATGAAAATCAAACTGCAAGCCGAGATGTCAGATGAGCAAGCAGGGTTCCGTGAAGGAAGAGGGACAAGAGAACAGATTGTCAACATTCGAAACATATTAGAGAAATGCAGAGAACACAAACACCCCCTCTATTTGCGCTTTATAGACTATAGCAAAGCATTTGACTGTGTGAGCCACTCTCATTTGTGGAATACAATGGCAAAGATGGGGTTCCCAAGTCACATCATCGAACTGATCAAAAACCTCTTTCGTGACCAAGAAGCAACAGTGAGAACCAGTAACGGCAATACTGAGTGGTTTGGAATTGGTAGGGGAGTACGTCAAGGCTGTATACTGTCTCCTAACCTTTTTAGTATTTACTCTGAGGACATTATGAGAAATGCTCTGGAAGGATTTAAGGGGAGAGTTAAGTTTGGAGGTAAAAAGATCACGAACCTAAGGTATGCTGATGACACCACTCTCGTTTGCAGCAGCAGAGAGGAGCTGATTGATTTATTGAATCGCATCGAACAGGCAAGTGAAGAAAACGACCTTCTAAACACCAAAAAGTCAAAAATAATGGTTGTCGATAGAGATTATGATAACACTGAATTCACCGTAGCTGGAAAAAGATTGAAGTAGTAAATCGGTTTGAGTACTTGGGCTCAATTATCGCCAACAAAGGAGAGAGCACCACAGAGATAAGAAGAAGGATGGCAATGGCAAGATCAACAGTACAGAATATGTCCCACATCTGGAAGAGCCGAGGCCTATCTGTCAGTCTGAAGGTTCGTCTGCTTCAAGCAACTTCTTTCTCTATTGCTACTTACGGAAGTGAGTCCTGGGCCATGACAAAGAATGACAGAAAGAGAGGTGATGCCTTTGAAATGTGGTGCTATAGGAGGCTGTTGCAGGTGTCATGGATAGATAAAAAGACAAATGTGTGGGTCCTGGACAAGATTGGAACAGGCTTGACCATCAGAAGGGGAATCATGGAAAGAAAACTTAACTCTTTTGGGCACATTGTTAGGAGATCTGAAGTTATTGATAAGCAAATACTGCAAGGAGCAGTCGAAGGAAAACGGGGTAGAGGTCGTCCACCAATATCTTGGACTGATGATAACAAGAAAGTGTCTGGACAAGGAATGAAAGGTGCAACACAAATGACAGGTGAAAGAGTTGCATGGCGTGCTCTCGTGAAGGCCACAGCAGCGCTTTACAGCGCCACCTGAAGTTGATGGTGATGATTAAGTATTATCTACTCAAAATACGTTCTACATGCTCAAGCTAGAATTAATGTGCAGACTGAGTCAGTTTGATGCGAGTCGTGTTTTAAAGCTATTATGAAAAGTGTCAAGTGTTATTTTCGCATACGGAAAACAGGAGAAACAAAAACAAACAAACAAAAATAAAGCATATCAAACGAATCAAGTAAAAAAAAAAAAAATAGGGAACCCCCCCCCCTAAACAAAAAAGGAACCGTTGTCGAAAATGACAAAGTATAAGTTAAAGGGAGTGTAGCTTGGCAAATACTGGTTAACGACATCTGCGTCTTCTTTTGGACAAATGCACGTAAACAAATGGACTTGAATAGCGGTGGTCACCGACCTAATCTGTACATGGTCATCGTGCGCTAGCGTTCGCGAAACAGACCGAAGTTCTCCTCGAGCTTCGGTTTCGCGTAGGTTGCACGTTCGTTTTTGCTGCGGCCGCGTCCTCCTTAATCGATTGGCCACGAGACAGGCCACGTGAAAGACACGTAGTCTCGTCAGGCTACACTCCCTTTAATAATCAAAGCTGATAGAAAAGAGTTGATGATTAATTTTGTATAGACAAACTTCTGTATCGAGAAAAAAATATTCTCACCAACTACTTGACCTTACATGGCAATGTATATCACCTTTAGATTAACAATACTATGAGTAAAAGGGTTCTAGGAGACCTACCCGCTGAACATCCATCCCCGTATAACCATCCCCAGTCAACTACCCCTACGTGTCTACGCCAAAATTACGCGAATGCGTCCATCTCGCGTACCCATTTACGTCCCTCAGCGTACGGTTACGTAGGCGTAGTCGGTACGCAACACTACGCAACTCTACGCAAAGCCCGGTGTGAAAGCCCCTTAAGACTGGATCGGTGGAAGGTCGTTTTTAAGTTAATCGAGGCAAGTTGGTCCGATATAAGCCCCCTTTCACACCTGGCCAGCTTGATTTGTCATGCAAGCAAAATACTTCTGAAGGTGATTAGCAGAAGAATGAAAATCAAACTGCAAGCCGAAATCTCAGAGGAGCAAGCAGGGTTCCGTGAAGGAAGAGGGACAAGAGAACAGATTGTCAACATTCGAAACATATTAAAGAAATGCAGAGAACCCAAACACCCCCTCTATTTGTGCTTTATAGACTATAGCAAAGCATTTGACTGTGTGAGCCACTCTCATTTGTGGAATACAATGACAAAGATGGGGTTCCCAAGTCACATCATCGAACTGATCAAAAACCTCTTTCGTGACCAAGAAGCAACAGTGAGAACCAGTAACGGCAATACTGAGTGGTTTGGAATTGG